TCACATTGACAATATTGTGCCTTTTGTAGCTTCAAATGCTAGGATACTAATATCATGGTCATCAATACATTTTAGAATAATATCACGGTTTTCTGCTACCAATTTTGGATATGTTGGAAGAATTTTGGATAATGCCAAGAGTCCAACATATTTCACTAAATTTAAAATTATGAAATTTGAATTAAAAATAATAAAAACCTAGAGATATTTATTAAGTCTCACTAAATTAACAAGGATCATTAAATTCATAAGGATACGATTCTGATCAGGATCCTCTAGAAATATTCTCAACTTGTTGACACACATTGCAGCCAAAGCATCTGAATTTCCACCCGACGTTAGCATCTCACCAATAATTACGGTATGTATACATTCATATAGTAATGACATGGCTTGAGTTGTTTGTATTTGTTGTGTAATTGGTGGTAAAAGTTTTTTGGCAAGGCGTGGCTCCAATGGTGTTAAAGCACCAAACTGCAATAATATTTAAATCAATAATTAACCATATACACTAAAAAACCAACCTTAAACTATCTATACAATACCAGTTTAATAATTTTTATAAGCATCCAATTATTGGAAGAGGTATTAAATAAGTTAAACAATTGTGGTGCAAGGGACAAATAATTCTTTGGATTTTTCCGTGCCAATTCACATATTACATTAACAACAGCGCATACGACCGCTATTAATGTGAAAGAAAAATTAGAACAAGACAAAAAGTATATAATTGGCAAAGGTTCATAAATCTCACTAACATGGATCAGGATCATCAAGCCGTTCTTTCAAACGGGGAAAACTTAATCTCAAAGCTTCAGGAAATTTAAGAAAAAGTTTATAAAGAACAAGCACCACTTTTTTTCGCACATAAGGACGAGAATGACTAAGCATTGAAACAAGATCCTGACAAAGATCACGAGCAAGATCTGGTGTGACGATATGAGAGAGTCCATTAAGAGCTATACCGACCTCAAGGTGATTTCCTGATGCGAGATCCTGCATGGAAAACATTAGTTGAAATATCCATAATAAACAAAAACACCTGAAATTATTAAAACACTACCTTTTTTAATAAATTAGTAGTTAACATTAATACATCTGTACCCTGCCGGAAGGATTGCGTGGCCGCCAAGTAACCCGAAAGTTTTTGAAAAAATTTTGCCGATGACATAACCTCAACGACATGAAAAGATGCCCATGACATATCATATCCTAGCATTTGAAGCTACAAAAGGCACAATATTGTCAATGTGATTGTAAAAACGAAACACACGAAACTTGAAAATTTTGCAATAATTGTCCATATTAAAAAGACTTTATTATCAAAACATCTACAACTCACTGAGAATTCCACGTACATAAGTCAGTTTTGATATTGCCAGTGCTTTTATATCGGGATCATTACTCTTTACTTCTTGATGGATCTCCTGTAAGCACGCAGCAATATACTTTTGCTCATTTTTCTTGTTTGCGCGGATACCACGAATGAGATCTGTAAGCGACTTTTCAAACATTTCTAGCTCGAAAAGAGCTCATTGAAAAATTACATATTTTTATCAATCACCTGCGCCATGTATCAATTGTGACACAAAGGGACGTCGTTAATTGGTGAATTAAATTACTCACGAACATGCGCATGGGAATATTTCGGAATATTCGGAATATTTCGGAATATTATAATTCTGGCCCGCATTAGCAGCAAGCTACCATAATGGAGGCCAGAATTCCATGCGCACGAAACTGTCCAACCGGGGTAAAAATCACCACCCAAAAAAGTTTCGAATCATATTTTTTTTACCACGATTATTATTTTCTTCATCATGATTAGGATCGTGATAATGATATTTAGTAAAATATTAATTGATTTTCCAAACGATCGACAAACCAATGATCCTTACAAAAGCATAAAATCCAATAAACACAATATTCTACATTGATTGCCGTAACCAAATTTCCACTAATACGTAGTAAACGAAAAAAATGAAAATCAAAAAAAAATTATAAAAACTAATCAAGAAAATGTAATTGCACCAGAAAATCTTGTAGATTTTATTTTTAATACTCTTCTAAAAGATTATGTATAACTTTGATTATTTTATTTGAGCGAAGTTTTTATAATTCTGAATTCAAAAAACGTTATTGAAAAAACGTAATGAATCCAAATGGCCCGATAGCATTAATACGTAAAACCTTGAGCTATTGCATAAATTGTATCATTTTAAAAGACAATGGAATATTTCAAATACAATATTTAGAAAAACCGTAATCATAATACTTTCTGGCTGTAATAATATTACATTTATTGAGTTTATACGAAAAAAAATAAAAAAAGATTCATTTATTGCCTATCGTTATTATTTTGTTAGTATAAATTTTTTGTTTGTATTTTTGGTGCTTGATATACTTGTCACACGATGCTCGAAACTTTTTTGGGTGGAGATTTTACCCCGGTCAAACAGTCCTAGCGTTACCAATAGTGTTCCTCACGGGACGGTTCGGGTCGGGTCACAGATAAGATCGATAAGATCCGAACCCGAAAAAACCCGGATCCGACCCGAAAACCCCAAATTCAGCCAATCAACGTGCGTCATTTTATTTCGGGTCGAGTCCAAATAAAAACCTGGAACCCTGGCTTTGGCCTAGGGTTGGGGCACGGCAAATTTTTGGGGCATGCCCCTATAGATATATATAACATATATTATCGTAATTCTGTAATTAGCAATAGTAGGTTTTAATTCTAATTGGCCAATTTGATAATTGACCAATTATATAATAGCCCTATATCACATGATAAGCATGCCCTAGGCATCTTCGCAGTATCGCAAAAGTTTCATTTTTTTTTGATAACTTTTTTTATAGGCGCAGATCATACCCTAAATTTAGGTAGTGTTTTTGATGCATCATATTCATAGAATTTAAATTTTTTCAAAAATTTGAGTAAAGATATCTAGATGGTCACGTAGAGCTTAATAGTATGAACATAATACCTATAAACACACAAACTAGCTCGAACTCTAGTAATCTTTTCAATTTATCAATTAACTTTAAAATCTTTATATTCATTGTGACAGTGATAAATAGTACTACTTTTAAAAGATATATTTCACCATCAAAAAACAACTAAAAATGAAGGCTACTCAAAAGAAGGTATGGAAGATTTGGTCTGAGAACCAAGGATCCTACTGCCACTAAAATCTCCGGATTAGATGGTCTTTATTTAATTATAATTCTTATTTATCTATCTACACACTTGTTTCTCTTCAGTTATATAAGATTAATGGGTTTATATATATTACAAATTACATTAGGCTTTACTACTACGATTATAATTATACAAGCAATATGACTAATTAAAGTTTCAAGAGAGATTCAATAACTAATGATGAGTAATTCATACTCATCTGAATAACTATAGCTTTAGTTTCCACTATTCAAAATGAGTGGCACCTTACTATTGTTCTCAATAAAGCATCACTTTGAGCCAAACTCGAATTAGATGTTTTTACTTTTGTTAATCAATAAGTATTTAAGTTCCAAGTTATATAGCTTGAGTCACATTTTCAGGTGACTGCAGCTAGGTTACATATTAGCATTATATCATTTATTGCAGTATAACAAAATTATGTTGAGGACAGTATTCGCTACGATTTGTAGTTTTATGCCAATTGTTACAGCAAGTATTATGTTAATCTTATAAATGAAAATCAATATCAACTATTTTTTATATATACTATATGATACACACTGTTAGCATTTCACTATTAAACTAAAGCTATAGAACAAAATATGCAGTTCACAAAGCAATTCTGAAAGTATCTGTAAAATCAAGAAAGAAAAGATTTATGATCATGCTGACTAACAAAATACAAGAGTTTATATACATACACTATTAAAGATAGCTGTAGGTTATACTCTTCATTTTACTTCTATAAAACTCCATTCCTAGTATACATTTATTATTAAAAAAATATACTATATACTAATATATGTTTATTTATTATATTTTTTTTTCTAATTCGGCTGTACTGCCTTTATTTATTTGAGATCAAGTTATTCAAAATTACAAGTAATTTATCTCTAACTAAAGTAGATCTAACCAAATGAAGAACTTGCCTAAGTAATTTTATACACTAGGTGCGACTTGCTTTAGTAGCTCTTGGCCTCCCTCAGAGTCCTTAACTCACTAAAGACTTTTTTTCTATTGTTCATTGGCTGGCAACTACCCGCTCATCAAGATGCAAAATCAGAAAAACAAACAAACTAAAAAAAAAGTTTCTTGCAGTACTATACGTCATGTTTTACATGATGAAAACTTACATTCATGCGTCACCACCCCAAAGCCATTGGTCACCCCAGAGAACAAACAAAAGAGATACGAATGGGCTCTTGCACATGAAAATTAGTCGGTTCAGCATTTCAAACACGTATTGTGGTCAGATGAAACTATGATTCGTCTCTTTCAAGGTTCCCCTAGTCATGTTTGGCGGGAGCTACATGAAAAATGGGAAACTGATTGCCTTGGTAGTACTGTAGATCGTGGTGTAGGTCGTATGTATTGGGGCTGCTTTTTCTGACATGGGATTGGGCCCATTGTTCTGCTGAAGTCCTCCATTACCAGTGCCTCGCATATTGAAATTCTTCGAAGATACGCTCTTCCTGTCCTAAAAAATTTTCTGTTAAGAGATCGTGGTCGTTCTATATTCTAACAAGATAATGCCAAGCCTCATTTTGCCAACCCTGCGAAAGAATTTATGAAAAAAAATAGGATTCGAGTAATTATGGATTGGCCCCTACAGAGCCCTGACCTTAATCCAATAGAAAATTTGTGGGCTGAGCTCAAAATGTCTTTGCGTCGCAAGCCAAAGCCAGGTAATGTTAAAGAGCTGGATGCTCTTGTAAAAAAGGTGTGGCACGAAATAGCACCTGAGTATTATCGTCGACTGGTTACTAGCATGCCCGATCGGGTTGCCGCCTATATTAAAGCTAGAGGGGGACCTATAAAATATTAAAATATAATTAGTTTTTTTTTTGGTTAAAAAAAAAATGTAAAAAAAAAAGGAAAAAAAAAAAACTAAATTTGGATTTTCGGTCAAATAAAAAAAACCAAGTTCGCGGTTTTTTTTGTTTAACTTTTGCGCAACTTAATGAATTTGTATAAAAATTTAGTATTTCGTACCTTGAGATCATTGTAGCATGTGATAAAAATTTTGTGCTATATTTACTTACCCGATCCTGAGTAATAAATTTTCAAAAAGTGTCCACATATTTATGGTAGGTGACTGTAATTTCTACTTCTTTTAGAAACCATACCCTTCTGTCTGTAGCAGTTCGGGCAGACAATATTTTATAGATAAAATATATATTTATTAAAGATAAATAAGATAGACTATCCTTAGATTTCTATTCCTAAAGAATCTTATAATATTATAAGAGAGAATTTAGAGAAGAGGTGAGTCTGAGTCTAAGTTGGATAATAACAGGTTTCAACAAATCTAAGGTGGACAGTAACAGGTTTAATATTAACTTAGGAAAATTTAAAGGTTTTTTATATCTTTAGAGCTAATCACTAATGGTGCAGCTAAGCATAGTTTACTTAATATTAAGTACTAATTGTAATTGCTAATTGTTAAGTATTAAGCATTAATTGCTAATCATTAAGCATTAAGTGTTAATCACTAATTGCTAATTGCTAAGTGTAATCGCTAATCACTAAGTGTAACTGCTAATCACTAAGCATAATCACTAATCACTAAGTATAATCACTAATCGTTAATCACTAAGCATAATGACTAATTATTAATCACTAAGTGTTAAGCATTAAGGCTAATTATTATACATGTCTTTTAAATTCTTCTTTAAGGGCTGTACAGTAAATCACATAATTTTAGCTTATTATAAGATCTATCTCTTTCTCCCTATAATAAAAATTAACCAATCAAATTTTATTTTTCTTAGAACGTGATAGATTTGATACCCTCTTTCTTCCTAAAAAATCACATGATTTCCTGCATTTTCCTAAGATCAATATAATAATAACTAATAACTAATAAAATACAAATATCGAAATAATTAAATAATACTAAGATAAAATAATAAAATAATAAAATAAAACTGCTTTATAATACTATATTGATTTACTTAGTAAAAATTTTAACTTTACTATAGAGTAAC